TGGCGAAGCCGTACACATCCACCTTCCTCTCTGCCTGCATCATGTCCAGCATCGCGTCGATGACGATGAAGGTGCCCGTGCGTCCCACCCCGGCGCTGGAAGAGAAGGGACACGGGTCAGGGCAGCAGTGCTGGTGCTGGGGGGGTCCCTGGCAGAGCAGCCTGCAGCCAGACGGAGCCTTCCCAGCTGTGGGGAAGCAGCAACACCTGTTGGGGTGGGGAGAGAGGTCCCCAGCCTGGTGGTCAGCGTGGCCTGGGTTCCTGGGGGGTGAGGCACACAGAGCATCTCCTGGGACTGCTGCCACCAGAGGGCATGGAGGCAGAGAGCCAGGGGAGCCAGCGTCTCAGGGGCTGCCTGTTCCTACCAGTCACCCCCCATCACGGGATGGGGAGCCCATGGGGAAGCTGTGTTTCCATAGTGGTAACTCAGCCCTTAAGGAGAAGAAGAAAGATGAGGCCAGAAGATGCTATGGAAAGACAAAACACTTTCGTCAGCTGCCTGCTGAGAAGAAAGCTGGGAAGATGGACTTGGGAGGTGGCAGATGTGATTATCTCTGCCTTTAACTGTAGGGCTTTCCCTTACTGAGGTGTGGAAAGCCTCTGTGTGTCCCCCAGGGTTGCTGCTGTCCTTGAAACCTCTCCACATGTGGTCAAACACCATGGCCCCAGGCACACTGTCAGCTGAGCACTGCCTTCCCACAACGAGGGACACTGCCCTCTCGAGCCCAGGGCAGCAGAAAGCCAAGGGAGATGCCACCAAAGCCCAGCAGTGATGCTCAGCTGAGCTCACTCAGCGTCCGACTAACCCAAACGACCACATGAGTTGCAACACCATCACATCACTGATTCCAAGATGTCCCTTCAATTCACATGTCTTTGTTTGAATGTCCCCGTGTGGAACATTCACATTTAACATGGGAAAGTGAAAGGAAAACAAACAAAAAGAGACTGACTGAAAGAAAACAAGGTCATCCTTCTGGTGCTAAATAGGAGACATTTTCCAAGTGACCCAGGAGAGGCAGAGGTCAACTGTGACCAGGACTTACCTGCAGTGCACAACTATTGCTCCTGCATATTGGGGATTGCAGGTCTTCACCTTCTTCAAGAACTTCAGCATCCCAATGGGGGTGAAGGGGACCCCAAAGTCGGGCCAGCTGGTGAAGTGGAACTGGGTCACCAGGCGCTGGGGCTTCTTGTTCGTCACGTCGCCGACCTGGAGGAGAAACGTGGGCTCAGGTTCAGGAGAAATACTCAAGATTTCATTTCTTTCCCCAAAAAGAAGGGTAGAGAGGGAGCTACAGCTCTAAGACTCAGCTGGATGGCTTCAGAAGCACCAGCATCCACATGCTGAAAGGGCACAGACTGGATCCACAGCCAAATTAGTTTTTAAAATGACATTTTCACTGTCCAGCATCGCATCCTGGGGGTGACAGATGCCAGCCTGGCCTCAGCTCTGGCCCCAGCCTGGCAGAAGCTGCTGGATTTCATTCCCAGCAGGCTCCAACAGAAGCTGCTGCTCCATCCTTTCTGACACATCTGCCCACAGCATCCTCAGTTCAAGGCAGGAGGGGAAACCACCCACCTCCAAGTGGTCAGAGTGAAGGGTGAAGCTCAAGAGAGCCCTGCTCAGGGTCTAGACAGGTTTTCAGTCCCCAGCTCTTCCTTGCCTGCCTCCAGGAGCAGCAGGAGAACAAAGGGAGAGACTAAAGCATCCAGAGCCTCCTTGGAGGACAATAAAATGCATCAACAGATGGGAAAGGAATCAAAACCAATGAGTGTGGCACTGGGTTTTGTCTCAGCTCATGGGATAAATGTGATTATTTGCAGGCATTAAGTGTCCGAGGGTGAGAGCAGGAACTGATCCTGTGAACTTTAGGTTTGTCCTGCTCTGGGGTGGGAGCTGGACTGGGTGATCCAGGCTGTCTGAGGAGGCAGTTGAGCCACCATCCCTGGAGACATCTAAGAAGACAGATGTGGTGCCAGGAAACAGGGTTTAGTGCTGGACGTGGCAGAGTTGGGATAGTGGTTGGACTCAATGGTCTTGAAGGTCTTTTCCAACCAGAATGATACTGTGACACTGTGAACAACAAGTGCTGGAGTCTTACAGGACTGAATTTCAGCCTTGGCATCCATCAGCTCCCCTGCTCTCAGCACAGCCATGCTGGTATCCACTGGGAACGGGCTCTAGGGTGTTTCAGGTGAGTAAATTCTTAATAGCCCTGGTTAAAAAGGGGTGCTGGGCTCAGTTCATCCCAACTCTGCTCTCACGGCACTTCAGAGGAGTCAAGGAGCATGGCAGTGCCTGTTGGATGCCCAGCATGGAGAGGGCAGGGATGGGAAGAGATGGGAAGGGATGGGATGGGAGATGCAAGCCCTGGCACCTGCTGGATGCAGAACTTCCGCACGGTGTAATCCACCAGGACAGTCACATCCTCCACGGACACACGGATGTTCCCATAGGTCCAGCAGCCCTGATCTGGCCAGTACTGAGCACATTTACACTGTGGGGAGAGAAAACAGGCACACGTGAGCTCTGGACCCTCACAATCCTGAGATCAGCTCCAAGAACAGACCCATAGGCATGAGATGTGTGGGATTCGGACAAAGTTGGGTTAGATACCAGTCAAGGATGCCTTCCAGCACCTACCTCCTTCCTCTCTTTCAGGTTGGTCACCATGACAATTGTCGCTGTGTTTTGCTCCCAAATCATCCTCCAAAAATCGTTCACCGTTTCTTCCTTTGGTCCTAAGGGGAAGGTAAAAAGGAACGTGGTCTCTGGGATCCACCCCTCCAGCCCTGAGGCTGAAACCCAGTGTGTGAAGTCACCCGTCCCAGATGATGCAACACATTTTTTGCCAATAGGTGTCAGCACAGGAGGTGTTTTGGTGTCTGGGAATGTTGGCTAAGCCAAGGAACAATCCTACCACAGAAGAACGGGGCTTTCGGGATATTTTTTTTATGAGGAATTCCATTTTTAGCCCAAGAAAGGGAAATTGGACAAGTAGGAGCATGGAAATGACTTGCTCGAGGTCACCCAAAGAAATCGTGGCCATCGCAGTAAGTGATGGGACAAGAGGGAAGGGCCTCAAGTTGTGCCAGGGGAGGCTTAGATTGGATCTTGGGAACAATTTCTTCCCCAAAGAGTTGTCAGGCCCTGGCCCAGCCTGCCCAGGGCAGAGGTGGAGTCCTTATCCCTGGAAGGGTTTGAAACTCTTGTAGATATGGCACTTGGAGACATGGGTTAATGGTGGCCTTGGCAGTGCTGGGATAATCACAGAATCCCAGGGGTTGGAAGGGACCTGGAAAGCTCCCCCAGCCCAACCCCCCTGCCAGAGCAGGATCACCCAGAGCACATCACACAGGAATGTGTCCAGGGGGGTTTGAATGTCTCCAGAGAAGGAGACTCCACAGCCTCTCTGGGCAGCCTGGCCCAGGGCTCTGTCACTCTCACAGCAAAGAAGGTTTTTCTGATGTTTACGTGGAACT